ATAAATACATATTTTTATCTTTGTACACATATGTAGATGTTTCAAATAAATTCCTAGAAGTGAAATTTCTGGGTCAAACAAAGTGTATGAAGATTGAAAGTGTAAAAGGTATTTCCAAACTGTTGCACTATCACTTTAAGACCACAATATTAACTTATTCTTTTTTAAAAATATATATATTTTATTGATTTTTTACAGAGAGGAGGAGAGAGGGATAGAGAGCTAGAAACGTCGATGAGAGAGAAACATCGACCAGCTGCCTCTTGCACACCCCCTACCGGGGATGTGCCCGCAACCAATGTACATGCCCTTGACCGGAATCAAACCTGGGACCTTTCAGTCCACAGACCGATGCTCTACCACTGAGCCAAACCGGTTTCGGCAATATTAACTTATTTTTTAGCTCTGAAGTAAAATATTTTCTACTGTATTTATATTTATTATACTATTTCAGTTTCCCTGAGGTTTATTTAATTTAGTTGAAGCAATTTGCCACATTTAATTGAATCTATGATGCCATTTTAAAACATAACCTGATTTTAGTTATGTTGAAATATAAAAAGCATCCCTTTTTATATTAAATGTTTCTTAGCTGTCTTAGAAAATAAATAATTAATTGCTTATACTTAGAAAAAGCACTTACTCAATAAAAGAACAACTCAAATGCTCACACTAAACAATTAAATATACCTTTCCAAAAGTTTATTTTTACATAAGATGAAACGTGACAGCAAACTTGCTAAATCTAGGGAATTATTCACGTTAAACAGGCCTTTAAAGGCCCACCTGAATAACCCTTGTCTGCCACAAGGATTCATATCATCAGACCATAGAACAAATAAAAACTCCAACTATTTTCTAACACGATGAACCCAGGCTCATAAACGCATGTGAAAAGATGTTCACAGTTACTGTATCAGCAAAGCCTCTTTTTGTAAGAACAGACTGCTCCCTGTTAACTGGATTTGACTCATTCACTAGCACACAATTCCTCTTGATCTTTGATAAGGAAATCACTTCCGAAGTCCAGTCCCCAGACACAGCTACCTTTGGACATCTCTGCCAGAAGCACAAGAGAGCTAGGTATCATTTTCTAGCACTAATGTTTGAGGTGATACTAATACTCCTTTAAAGTCCTTTTGGCTTTTGTTTTGTTTGATGTGGCTAATTGTTCAAAAGATTAACATTAAAGGACTTATCACAATGACAATCAGGCCCTGGCTGGGTAGCTCAGTTGGTTAGAGGTCCTCTGAATACCCCAAGATTATGGGTTCAATCTCCAGTGAAGGCAAATATAAGAAGTAACCATACTATCTATCTCTCTATATTAAAATCTAATATGCAGATTGACCCCGCGGGAGTTCGCCTGCAAGACCGATGACTCGCATGACGTGCACTGACCACTAGGGGGCGGTGCAGAACAAAGAAAGGCCCAGCTAGCAGCCAGAAGGCTGTGATCAGCCCTGATCACCAGCCAGGCCTAGGGATGCTACCTGTGCACAAATTTTGTGCACAGGGCCTCTAGCGAATATATAAACAAGTGGAGCCGAAACCAGTTTGGTTCAGTGGTAGGGGGTCGGTCTGCGGACTGAAGGGTCCCAGGTTCGATTCCGGTCAAGGGCATGTACCTGGGTTGCGGGCACATCCCCAGTAGGGGGTGTGCAAGAGGCAGCTGGTTGATGTTTCTCACTCATCAACGTTTCTAGCTCTCTATCCCTCTCTCTTCCTCTCTGTAAAAAAAAATCAATAAAATATATATTTATAAAAACAACAAGTGGAATAACAAAATAGATGTTTCTCTCTAAAAATCAATTAAATAAAAAAGAGAAAAGAATGATTATCAGAACACTTTCCATTGTGTGTTTTTCTACACTTGTGACTGAAACGTGTGTAGAAAGGTGCATCATGCCTTGATTTGCAGGAAAAAGAGATACTAAAATGTCACACAGACGTTGGCTAAGCACAGAAAGAAGAATAGAGCAGATGATCTAAACTCTGCATAAATATAAGCCATTTATACCAAGTCTGAAACATGAAACTGTCTATGTTATTATCATTAGTTGAAATGTCATAATAAGCCACCACCAAATAAGAGAGAATTTTTCAGTCCCTCTTTCGTCTCTCAGTATGTATCTTTCTCCCTCTCTCCTCTAAGCTCCAAGGGCCCTTCTTTTGCTAAAACCTGTTTTCTGAGGCCATTTCGTCTAAGGCTCACTTCTATCTTTGTGACTTTCTAAAAAACTTTCAGAGAGAGAGAGAAAGAGAGAGAATTTTCCCTGTTGAACTTACTGACATCAATATTAAATCCTTTTTGTGTACCCATCACTTTACTCAGTATTCTTGTGATTATCACTATACATATTTTATGTTCTTAAGCTATTTTTGCATGTGACTTGTAAATGTAACCCTTCATATGAAAAGAGTGGCAAAGAGTTAAGTTGAATTCACATCAAATTCTGTAACTTAATTTGCTCTACTTCTGTTACTACTGTTGGTTTCTTCTTATTCATGGAAGCCACAATTCTCAGAATGTATTGAACTTTTCTTGGCTACTTAGTTGAATAATTTCTAATATATGAAAAAAATGTGATTTTCACCAAAATCCATGCTTGCATACTTCCTCTTTTCTGATCCCTTCTTGATAGCATTGTAGTCCTCTCACAGCTTTCAATATCTTCAGGGTTTTTAAATAACCCTTTCTTTCCTACTTTACCTCCTCTTGCTCAAAAACCAAAAATTATTGGCATGCTTGAGAAGCCGTGTGTAAGAGGTCTAGCTGACAGTCCCAGCTGAGCCCTACCTCATATCTACCCTAAAAAAAGAAGTCCAGTGAGACAATTATTCAAAACCTATTAAATCCTCTTCAATATCCCTGTACCTAACCAAACATTGAACAGTCTGCTAGCCAGCATCTGATTCAAAAACTACACTTTTAGGTATTTGGGGTAAATGTGAAAAAGAAAGAAAAAATATAAAAAAATGGGGGTTGGGAGAGGAGATAAATGGTGATAGAAAAAATAAAATAAAAAGAATAAAGTTTTTAAAAAAGAACAGCAGTTAGAGATCACAGTTGGTTTTGCTAAGAGGAGGTAAAACTTTTACACTACTGAATGAGTTCACTAAAGCCTTTTACTGTATGTCATCAGCTTGGACATAGGCTATAGAGAATCATCTTTTGGTTCTTTACTAACCCTTTTATTATATCCTGTCAAAACGAACAAAGGAAACCAAAAACCAAAGACAAAACACTCCTAGAGAAGGCCAGGATGAGAGTGGCAAAGACTAAAACCCTCTTGACATTGCTACTGAACCTGGTCTCCAGCCTCAAAAACAACACCGGGTTCCTGGGAAATCAGACTTGTGTCCTAGCAACAAACAGGAACTTCTGATATACTTTTCTATTTTTTTTAATCCTCCCCCCCAAGGATGTATTTTCTATCGACTTTTGGAGAGTGGAAGGAAAGGGGGGGTGGGAGGAGCCAGCCAGCCGACAGACTGTCAGATATCTATGTGAGAATGACACAACAACTGATTGCCTCCTGCAGATTCCCCGCTGGGGCCTCAGGGATAGAACCTGCAATCCTTGGGTGTGCAGGCTGACACTCTTACCAATGAACACACACCAGTTAGGACATACTCTTCTACATCCAGCATTACCTCCCACAAATCCATTTTTAACTAACAATTACTTTCATTCCTTCCTTTCTTCAGCTTATCCTCTTAACTCATATATGCTAAGCCCTGTGCCAGGCATTGGGACACAGTGGTGGCAGAGCATACTGTCTACAGCTGGAACGAGTCACTAGAACAAACACGAATCTGATTAAGTACCATACTGCCCTGCTGAAAATACTTCAATGCTGTTCAAGATTTCTTCAGATTTGGTCCCTGGTAATCTTGCTAGCCTCCTCTCCCACCTCCTTCAGGGCTCTGATTCTAAGTTGCAGCCATAAGGAATTGTTTACAGGTCTACTTTCTCATGCTATTTCCCTTTTACTGGACAACTCTTATCTTTCTGCCGTGACTCAGTTTAGATGTGGTGTTCTCTGAGAGAGCCTCCCGTTTGCTTTCGGCCAATTAGGTACAGAGGAAAATTCGGCTGTGGCATGCAGCCACTGGTTTTGTTTTTTGTTTTTTATTGAATACTTCACCCTTCCTTCCAGTGTGAAAATATATTTCTAATAAAATCAGCTCACAAAATGGCTGCCGCAGCTCTGCATCCACATCTTTTAGCTCATTTCTCTGAAGCAGTTTCTGAGAGGAGGCAGCGAACACCCTGTTTTTCAATGTAAAAAATGGTTAAGGTAACTCTGGCTGGCACACGTGAGTCAAAAACCTAGGGAAAGCAAATCTGTATTCCAGCTCATCTCCTAGCACCATGAATGTGCTGCAGAGACTGTCACAGGCAGCAAGCAGAAGGGGATGGGACAGGCTCGCTGCACCCACACCCCCCGAGGATCTCTGATGTGCTCACCAGTCCTGGATGTGGGGTGGCAGGAGCATGCTCCACTGCCAGCCACAGCATGTCGCCTTTCCCTTCCCTTGGGTACTTTTTAGGTCAAAAGAAATAAAATTTAAGAATTTACTAGTTTGAAATTGCATTGTGAGTTTTTGTTCCAGGTCCATCAGTTAATTAACAGCTTTGGCGAACACAGAAGGACCTGCCTCTTCCAAGAGTCCACTGAGCTCTCCCCATATACCACCCGTGTGACCCTAGCCCTCTGCTTTTTAGTTAGTTATTCACATTGCCTTTGTACTTGTCTGGTTCCCCATCTGCCCCGGAGCACAGAAATATCTTATTTGCTGCTGTATCCCCAGTAAATACTGAGTATCTTAGTACCTGGCACGTAACAGGCACTCAATAAATGACTGATGAATGAATCAATATAGACCTGTTGGTACTTCAAGGAAACAGGACAAACATTAGAAGCTCAGAGAATACGCAGTTCATACGAAGTCAGTAAAAACTATGCCACTGACAACTTCCAGTTCCTTCTCACCTGATCGATATCGCTCATCCCTGGCTCCCCCAGATCGAGATCGGTGGTACTTGGAAGGAGCGGAAGTTTGAGCTGCAGATGGAGCAGGTGTCTGGTTTCTATGTTCTTTCTGTGCTGCTGAATCAGTTTCTAAAAAAGGAAGTTTGGAAGATGGTTATCCAATAACAATAATAGCTAACATTTTCTGAGCACTTCACATCATTCCCACAACACTCTGAGGTAGTTTTATTACCCCATCTATAGTAATGGGTTAGAGAGCTATAATATACCAACAGAAAAATGATAAAGACATCCAGGTAAAAAAAAAAAAATCACATTAGAGCTATAACTGTGAATAAGTGATAGGAAAGAAATAGCAAAATGATCTACATAAAATGAGTAAGACATTCCAGAGACTGCAAGAACTGGTGGGGCAGATACAAGACCCCCAATCCTACATATAGTACAAAGAGCAGCTTGCAGAGCCTTAGCCTCCCCAAACATAAGTTACTCCAAATAAACAGATCATTTAAGCAAAAGCAGGGTGCTTATTATGCAAACATAGCTGCAAGTCATACTTAGCAGGCCCTCTTCCAACTGGAGCCACACCTGAACTGGTCCTTTCCAGTCCCTGGTCTGTTTCCTTATTCTGCCCTCTTAACATTTACTGTCTCATGAAGAACATGGGGAAGAGCTCTAGCCAGTTTGACTCTGTGGTTAGAGCATCCTGCCCATGGACTGAATGTTTGCTGGTTTGATTCCGGTCAAGGGCACAAACCTTGGTTGCAGGCTCAATCCCTGACTCCAGTTGGGGTACATGTGGTAGGCAACGAATCAATGAAGCCCTAACTGGTTTGGCTAAGTGAATAGAGCATTGGCCTGTGGACTGAAGGGTCCCGAGTTCGATTCCAGTCAAGGGCACAATCCTGGTTGCCAGTAGTGGGTGTGCAGGAGACAGCTGATTAATGATTCTCTCTCATCATTGATGTTTCTCTCTCTCTTCCCTTCCTCTCTGCATGCCACCCGCTGGGGATTGAGCCCTGGGGATCAAGCTCGTAACCCAGACATATGCCCTACCCTGGAATCGAACCGTGACCTCCTGGTTCATAGGCTGATGCTTGGCTGGGCATGTCACATCATTAAAAAAAAAAATTATTGGCATGCTTGAGAAGCCATGTGTAAGAGGTCTAGCTGACAGTCCCAGCTGAGCCCTGCCTCCCATCTGCACCCTCCCCCACACCAGGCACCAGATGTGAGTGAAGCCATCTTGGGCCTTCCAGACCAATCTGTACACACCAGGTGAAAGCACTTAGCGACCCCAATTGGCACCATGAAGAGCACAAAAAATCACCAACTGAGGCCTGACCCAAATCAGAAGATATAATGTAAAGGTTATTATTTTTTTTTAAAGTTTGATTATTTTTTATACATGGTTTTTAAGAATGCAAAAGAGTAAATTTTAAGAAGCTCTCCACAAAAGTGCTTTTATTAATCTATATAGAAATGTTTTATTTTTTATAGTTCCTGGTAGCTGAAATTTTTATTACAAAATATTTAACCAAGCAGAACTTATTTAACACTGAGATTTTGAAAGATGATGTCTGAGGTTGCAAACTGAAAGCCTAAATTCTCTTGATAATCTACTTCACAGAAAAGTTATACTGAAGTCTTAATATTTTCATACCTTGTTTCATTTGTTGGTTTTATTACTCTAGAATAGAAGTCAGCAAACCATAGCCCATGTCTATTTTTATAAATAGTTTTATCAGAACACAATCACGCTCATCTGTTTACACACTGCCTGTGAATGCTTTGACACTGTAAAGGCAGAGTTGGTTAGCTGTGGCAGAGACCAGATGGTCCTCAAAAACTAAGATATTTACTATCTGTCTCATTACAGAAAAAGCTTGCCACTCCCAGGCTATACCAATAAAAGCTAACATTTAAGTGTTTGCTTTGTGGTAGGCACTGTGCATAGAAAAGCACACATAAGTTTTCACATTTTATCTTATTCCTCACAACAATCCTATAGTCAGTACTATCAACTTACTATAGAAAAAGAAGCAGAGACATGTATCATTTTATCCAAAGTCACAGAGCCAGAGAATGAGAGAGCCAAGATTCAAAACCAGGTCTGTCTCACCCTACTGGTCTCCACCAGAAAAGGTTATAAAAAGGTTGTGATGCCCTCGCCAGTTTGGCTCAGTGGATAGAGCGTCGGCCTGTAAATTGAAGGGTCCCAAGTTTGATTCCGGTAAAGGGTACATGCCCCAGTTGCGAGCTTGATCTCCAGTGGGGGGCATGCAGGAGGCAACCGATCAATGATTCTCTCTCATCACTGATGTTTCCATCTCTCCCTCGCCCTTCCTCTTTGAAATCAACAAAAAATATATTATTTTTAAAAAGGTTATAAAAATTCTCCCAAGACGTTAGAGGAAAGCAATCAGAATTAATAATTTAGTCTGCAAGTATCTAAATGCTTCAGGATTTCAGCAGCTAGACAAGCACTTATGTGTGTGTTTTTTTTTAATCACCTGTCTTTATGTGAAAGATTCTACAAAAAGCCCCTCTAAAAACTTTTGGCCATTCATTAGAGAACTTATTTAAAACATACTCCAATGTGATTTGGGGAACTTAGAAGAGGATATGGGGGAGGGGAGGTTAATGGTGACAGAAGGAGACTTGACTTGAGGTAGCGAACACACAGTGCAATATGCAGATGATATATAATAGAATTGTATACCTGAAACCTATATAATTTTATTAGCAAATGTCATCCCAATAAGTTTAATAAAAAAGTTAAGAAATATATTCCACTTTAACTTTAAATAGAGGACAACAAATAGGAAGAATCTATTTTTATCTACACGATCAGATGATACAGGAAGGAAATCACATTAGCACACATGAGGTACGTTGCTTGCAAATAGGCACAGAGAAAATGGTTTGACAGAGCGTCAGGTTTAAAATACTAGCTTTGGCTGGGACCGGTTTGGCTCAGTGAGAGCATCGGCCTGCGGACTGAAAGGTCCCAGGTTCGATTCTGGTCAAGGGCATGTACCTTGGTTGCAGGCACATCCCCTGTGGGGGGTGTGCAAGAGGCGGCTGGGCGATGTTTCTCTCATCGACGTTTCTAACTCTCTGTCCCTCTCAATTCCTCTCTGTGTAAAATCAATAAAATATATTAAAAAAATTAAATAAAAAATAAAATACTAGCTTTGTATTATTTTTTTTTTTTGGGGGGGGGGGCGGCATACTGAATATATAGCCAAAGTACCTATTGCTGATAATTTTTTAAATTAAATAAGCAGATTTGCTAGGATTGATCAAACCACCCTGCTAAGAAACATGGTACTTCCAAATTAGGTATTAGTAATCCAGAGTATGAAAGGAATAAATATAGCTTTGCATTTCACAGAAGATGGACAAAATTGGTTCATGTATTTTTACCATTGCGCTCTCACACTTAAGCTTTTACTTTGTATTTTTCAATGCAATTAATTAGGATAAAGAAGATAATGTCAGCTAAAGAATAAAAATTTAAACAAAGAAATGATGGGGGGGGGGGTGTGTGACAGGGGAACTGGGAACTAATACTTTTGTTTGAGGAAGAATTAGAGAGAATGAACATCTCTACTCAGATTATCACAGACCAAACCACAAGAAAATATAACACAAATACAGACATCTAGTGAGAACTGAGAACCAGAGTCAGATGGTACTTAGCTAAGAGATCTACTGAACTGGCACAAAAAAAAAAAAGGCCTCACAACACAATAGGCTCTTCACCAGGCAACATTAGAATGATGCTCTGCATGTTTACCTCAGCTCCCTCAGGGACTTAGTCATCCAAGCAGACCAGGTTTCATTTTGGTCTAAAACTTGAGAAACATTTCCTGTAGCTTGCCAGAAATAGAACAAAATATTGATCTGCAGTTTCAATAAGTGCCTGACAAATTTGTTCAGTGACCATTCCAGGTACCCAAATCATATTGTCACAAAAAACATGGATTCCTGACACAATAATCTTGATTAAAAAGTGTGATACAGCCCTAACTGGTTTGGCTCAGTGGATAGAGCCTGTGGACTGAAGGGTCCCAGGTTCGATTCCGGTCAAGGGCATGTACCTTGGTTGCGGCCACATCCCCAGTAGGGGGTGTGCAGGAGGCAGCTGATCAATATTTCTCTCCCATGGATGTTTCTAGCTCTCTGTCCTTCTCCCTTTCTCTCTGTAGAAATCAATAAAAAAAATATATTTAAAAAAGTGTGATATATCTATTCCAAGAGAGCCTCCCTAAAAGAGAAGTAAAAGGAAAAAAGGGTAAAATGAATCCCTAGGAATTGAGTCACTCACTTTAAGTATAACAGAGGCACTTAATAATGAAACTCTGTTAATCTTCTTGAATGTGAGTAATTACTCTCCAGTTGATATATGAATTCTATAAACTTTTATTCCCAGGTATTTGAGTTTACTTTTTAGAATATGAGTTACAAATATATTTTATTATGCATTGAAAAAACTGGAAGCAAATATAGAAAAATATTAATAGCAATTATTTCGTATGGTATATATTTTTCCATAGGCTTTATTGGATTTCTACAACTTACAAAAGTTCTCTATTTGGATTATAAAAATAATACATACTTACTTTAGAACATCAAGATGATAGTAAGAGTAAAGAAGAAAATGAAAATATTTGTTTTTCTTAATTTAAAGGTCACATCACAAAGAGTAGATTCTTACCATAAATTAAAGTAATATTCAGTCTTCAGCTTCCTAAATAATGACACTATGAGCAGGATATCCTTTTCCTATCTTCTAAAATCAATTGTCTCAATTTTGGAAGGCTTATTCCCACCTTAGCTTACTTGCCAGGACAACAGTTTGTTGTGGAAGGGGACAGAAAACAATGTAGCTGGGTCTCATCAAAGAGAGGAGGGAGGGTGTGGAAACACAGGAGCTCAGCAGGGTGTTATTTAACAGCATGCCCAGCATCAGCTGGGCAGGCAAGATGCTGCTTAAAGAGGAATCATTCCCTGGCCAGGGTTTCACCCCCCAACCAGACCTCAGGAATTACCTGGGGCCCGAAAGTAGAGATTTCTCTATTTAGAATAAGGTATGTACAGTTTCACTACCACAGTAAGACGAC